TTACCTGATTGAGGAACTGGCAGAGACTTAATTAGAAATGGAAATTGCACTTTGCCTCTATTTGCATTGTAAATAGGAGAAGAATCTGATCTTTTGGGGGAAGTTTTTACTTGTTTTTCATTACTGAAATAATAGGTTATCAACAAATTCACAAAAAATAAGACTCATTGATGAACATATACAGACCATTTGCCTTGATTTATACCTGGTTTACATCTGTGTTATTATCTGTAAATAGGAAGTAAATAGATTAGGATAGGTAAACAAATAATTTTACAACATCCGTTTTCTGATATGTGTAAATAACAAAGTGTGCTAATTTGTTTACGAGTAGTAATCTGACATGAAACATGTCCTTCACTGGAAAATAAATATTATGCGGTTTATTTCTTTTTGCCTCGAACTTTGGTTGTAGAATGAGACGTCACACTTCATTTCTGTGACTAACACATCCGGTGAGATGTCATGTCCTCACACTGCTGTAAGGATCTTTCTGTACCAATAGTGTATACTGAGAAACCAACTGAAACATACTGCTAGTAAACGCAGTGGTGTTACCTGCTGCACTAATCCAGGCAGGCGTGCCACTGTAAAAGCACCTAACAGGTAAGGTTCATCAATAAATACTATAGAATTTAGAGACTGCAGCTGTGTTTGTGTGCCAAGCTCCATAAAACCTGCTGTGGAGTCTTCATAGCATAAGCAGAAAAGTAAACAAACAAGAATGTTTAGTTTCCATTTTACAGCATCATTTAAAATTGAAACTGTTTACACCCCATGGAAGAATGTTACTTGACTCTTCTTTTGACTACATCGTTTCAGTTATGCATAGGGATTGTTGTACTACTTCAAATTAGTGTTAATTTACCTTTTGGTAGGTACTTAAAATATGTTTTATAATTAAAATGAATGTTTACTATGCAGCGGAGACAATGCTAAGAATCCTGTATTGTTGGAATTGACAACAGCAGTTCAAGAAGAAATGTTTTAGTTTTACTTAAATACTTTCCTTAAATATTTCTCTTAAAAAGAGAAATGGTTTTATTATTGTTAGAGATTTTTAGAATTTAAAAATTCAATACAGCAGGCTTAAGAGTAGAAAAAGATCAAACAGACAAAACACTTTATAGCTTGATAATTTTATCACTGGAGTTCAAATATTTGTTCAAGGAAGTAATTGCTAAATAGAAGTTAGAATAAGACATGGAGATGTGCAAGAGAACAGCAAGTTTGAGACTATTGGAACATAGGAAATTGAAGGTTTAATCCGCAAAATTAAATCAGCTTCTCTGTGTGCTTAAAACAGGCAACTGGGCTTTCTTCATTGCTTTTGTTCGTCATGACCAGAAATTTTATTTTGGGCTTGAGATATTTGGTGGACTGAATTACTTAATGAATGAACAATTGCTGATGAAAACTTGTTACTGGAGAATTTTTGACAGAGCATTACTTCAGAACCATGCAATACTAGGTTACATCCCAGCAACCTTGAGAGCATTCCCAACTGCTCCTTTCAAAAAAGCATTGGTGTATTTTTGTTACAGCTGAGTTTATCAGAAAAGATACAGTGGTGGTGGTTGCAGTAAGTTGCATTTGAATGAATATTTTCTCTGAGATATACGTCCTGAACTTGGAAAGCAACTGTGGCTTTTTTTTTTTTTTTTTAATAGAAAATACTGTGTGGAGTACAATTCAAAAATAAATGACCTCATGACTTGTATTTAACACAAAGCGTGGCTTATAAAAATAGAAGGAGCCTCTTATGCTTTTATGGTTTCGGAAGTAGCTTCTCATGATCTTTGATGAATGCTTTTTCTCCAAGGAGAAACTAAGTGATGGTATTAAGAGCCATCAAAAAAGGCATGCTTTACATCCTAGACCCTTGATCAGAAAATTGCATCAGAACTGAGGAAGCTGCATGTCACCAAGGTTGGTCTATGTGTTTTCACTTATGGTGGTATCCTGTTTTAACAGGTGCTGAAACACCTCAGGTATGGAAATAGATTTCTGTCAAAAAAAAAAGAAAAAAAAAAAAAAAAAAAAAAAAAAAAAAGGAATAGTCACCAAAACCCAAATCGCTTTCTCTGATAGTGCCTGAATGTACCATCTGTTTCCATTGCGTTACAAATTGATGCAGAAAATTGATATGCAGTACTGTTTCTGTGTAGCTTCTCATTTGCATTTGCTTTTGTTGAAAATGGATGCAACTGAAAACCATCACACTGAAATATGCCAGACTCTGGAAGGAAGTGTTGAAACCAGCCTGGGGTCTTCCAGTCCAACGCTGGATCCACATCTAAATGTTGCAGCTGCCCACATACATATAGTATGCTGAAACACAACTTTGGATCTAGGCACCACACAGATTAACAGATGTTCAGGATTCTGTGCCAAAATATCCACTTTTATTTATGAATGTAAGAATTGAATAATTATAATGACATAAGGCCTAGTAGCTAAGTATGTTAAATAACCATCTAATCAATTAACTGAGATAGCCAGTATCTAATAGCAGCAGTATGGTTACTTTCACTCAATACCAAGAACATAAACTCACTTTTCTTTTTCTTTTTCTTTTTCTAATATGTGCAGAACAATGAAATCACTATATTACAGTTTGCCATGGCCATGACTGTGATTAATCTCAGTGTAAATCACCATCCCAAAATACCATTTCATCCTGTGTCTGGAGAGAATAGAGTTATAGTTTTCTAACCCCACGTAATTGTCCAGATCACTCCTAGGCAGAAATAAAGCAGCCAAAGTGCTTCTCAGACCTAAGCTGGTGACATATTTTCTCTGTTGGACACTATACTGGGTGACAGCAGATATAAATGATACTCCTCCCTGACATCCACTTCTTTCCCCACATGATCTGTACTAGAGAGGCTTTAGGAGCCAACAGATGCAGAAACTAGTTCCAAAATCTGCAAGCCTGTAGTGGGTTTGTCTGAACAGAGCTCAAATGTATTTGTGAAACAAGTATTTACATGGGTTTTCTTCACAGTAGAATGAGCTTTCAATATCTATTCTATTCCAAAAAGCAGTATCTTCTCTCTTTTGTCCTATAATAATTCTGAAATAAGATTTTCCTTAGTTCTGTTCTTTTGTTATTATATTTATTTTAAGTGCTTCTGGAAGGAAGAATTCATAAAAGTTTGTCTTTTTTCAAAGATACATCATACTTTGCTATGTGAACTGACTCTCAAGTATGGTTTCCAGGACAAGTGTGAGTACAAAACTTGCTGTGCGTTTGTATTTCTGTTTTAGAATAATTTGTTCAGAAATATGAATGCAGACAATGCAGAACTTCTTTTGGAGCTGATGGATTCAAAGAAAAAGTCATCTGCACAGTTACTGAAAGCCGTGGCAAAAATATCCACATTTCTGCAATCCAGGCAAGTCCTGGTTACTTCTTTATATTTATTGTTAAAGAACTGTAGCAATTTTTCTCATGCAAATCTCAACCTGTACTGCTAGGTAATCAAGCTGCTGCTTTTTTATGGTTTTGAGGATATAGTCATGAAGTTCTGTGTTAATTACATAGTATTATTTATCCTTGTGTTGTTTGACATGCAGAAAATTCTAAAGAAGGAAGAATTCCAGAATAGCAAATGTACTGAGAAATGGCAGAATTAAGTCTACTATACATTTGCTCTAGGAAATGTAAGCACAGATGATAGAGTGAATCTGGAAACAGATACAGTGTCTGTAAGATCATTTTTTTTATTATTTGTTGTAGGTATTCAATTTAATTTTTAGCAAATGAAATCTAAATTGCACGTCTTATATAAGATGTATACAAGATTTTGTTCAGACTATGTAGAAGAGACTGGAGACTTTTAAAAGATAGCTTGACATGAATATTACCATTAAAAAAAAAAGCCAAAGATACTATGGTATAATGAACACAAATTATTGTAGATATATTGGTAGTATATTTTAGCTGCAGGACTGTGACAATATGAGCGACCTCAGCTGTTTGGCCTATGGCTGTAATCCTAAATGGTGTTGAATCTCCTGTTGATTTTAATGATTCTGAGTTACTGAGATACTATCAGTTTTCACACCGCATTGAACTTGCTACAGGTATGCTTTCTGAAATTTATGTTTTATAATCTTCTCTCTGGACAGCATAGCATATAAGAGCATCAATGTCAGTATGTTTGCAGTCTATGGAATACACTGGGAATTGTGCATTTCTATTTCAATCAAATATGTGGGGACACAGATGCTGTCTGCTGCTGATAAGAATTTGGTGATCTGCCTTCTTGTAAAACTGTGTTTGTAATCACAATTTGGGGACTTCTTTATATTGTTATCATGGCTTGATTTCACTTACTCGTATCTCTTGAAGCATTTGCAGTGGCATATCTGAAAGATGTGAATTTTAGAGAAATAAAATAACTTAATTTTAAAATGACTCTCCTTTATACACATAGTAGTGCTCCATTTTGTAGTCACGGTAGGCAGAGGAGGCATAAACCAATCTCAGCGGACCTTCTTGTCTTTAGATTTTGCACTTCTCCCTTTTGGATGTTAAACTTCAGTGTTATTAGCCAGATTAGTTACTACCTGATTGTTCTTGATTCCCAAAGATCTGACATCCTGATGGTAACCTTTCAGGAAATAAAAAAGACACAGATTATTTGCACATTTTATTAACATATATATATTATATGAGTATTTTCACATGCTGTTCAGAAAGATAACGGGGAGAAAGAATAAAATTTGAAACTAGGTAGTTTAATTTACTTTTGTACGCACTTGTCTGGAAATTTTCAAGACTATTTAGCAGATAACAAGTTTTCTGAGAATGAATGCTTTTTCCTTTCCTGTTCCTCTGTTTTCAAAATGTTATTCAGCAGAACCCATGAAATATTGCTTTGTAGGCTACAACATTGAAACAAACAAAAAAAATGGCACCTTATTTTACTTTATAGGGTCAACTGATTTTTTTTTCTAAGTTGTTGAGGATGAAGAGATAAAGGATCAGACTTACGAAAACATTTTAATGAGAAGAGTGAATACCTGAAAAATGGATAAGTGCCGATTGAAGGCTTTTTTTCAAGAAGTATGTATTTTTTATAAATATTCCTGATTGATTTCTTATTCAGTTAAATTTTTGATGTAACTGTTGAACATACTTTTGAAAGGACTGAATGTCAGAAGACCTGTATTCCCTGTTAGCACTTCCTAAAGAGCACGGGAAATGATTACACATTTTAATGTGTAAAAATGTAGGCCAGTTCAAATTCATCTGATGAGCACAAACAAGTTTCCAGCCCTCTTCTCACAAAGATCCAAATAACCAATAAGTGCAATGTTAAGAACTCATTTCATGATAGAGAAATGAGATAAAGCAGAGAATAAATTACTTGTCCAAGGTCTCAGAAATAGTAGTTGAGAGAAATGTCAATGAAATCAATGTATAGCAGCTTCTTTTTAACATAAATGTTATACTGTAATTTATAGAGGTGAACTGATACTATCCTGAGATCATGCAACTTTCAGTCAAGAAAAAAATCCAGATTTAGATTTGCTGCTACAAAATCTGTAGCTGTATTATGTGAGGGACTCAGAATCTATAGCTACTTAGAGATTTTTTGCCCTGCAAGAAACTCTAAAGATAAAACAACTCTAAATCAGTGTTAAAGTAACATTAAAGTGGTATTGATCCTTTTGAACAATGGAAGTGTATGTATTTGTGGTTATCTTATCCATCAGTAAGATATATGGACAAAAGAAGCTTACAATCCTTATGTTTGTTGACAGAGGCAGTAAGAAAGCATTGGCAAAACAGGCTTTTATTGATCATTTATAAGCTAATATCTTTCAGCTAGGGAACTGTGCCAGTCATTCACTGACAAGATATAGATGTAGAAGGTGGAAATTTTGCTGTCAGCTGATGAGGAACTGCCAATGTATTCCTCCCTCTTGTATCTGAGGTTTCTCAACTTCTGGAGTTCTCAGCAACTGGGAATAGCTGCTGAGTTTAGTAAACTTGAAAATAATTGTTTTTTTCTCTTCAGCAGGTGTGTTTTTTTTTTTTCAGTTGGGCCTCCCAAACAGTTAGAGAAATAAGATCTGAAGTAGATGTATCTCAAGCTGAAATAATCTCAGCAACAGCTTTAACTGTTTTTCCATCTCCTGAAGGTGTTTAGATGTACATTCTATCCCTCAAGACCAATGTGATCAATCTCTGGACAGCCAAAAGTGTATTGGTTAGCACTCCATCTAATGGCAGCATCAGAGGTAAGTAATGCCACAGGAATTGACTACCTCTGCAGAGTCTCAACCTCTGCAGAGAATCCTTTAAAAATGGAAAGATGTTTGGGGGTAGTTTGGGGAAAATCTGAGTACAGCCACGCTTTGTCTTCAGAAAGAGTGAAAAAACTTCCAGTTTTGCAGGTTTGAAACAGTTATATATTTATATAAATTTATATATATATAAAAATATAATTTATTTTTATATATTTTATATATATATATAAATATATAAGTATATTTATATATATAAATATAATTTATTTATATATATAAAACAGCTTTTACAGGCATTGAGAACGCCATAAACTTGAAATCTAGTTATGCTTAGAAATAATGAAGAAGCATCCTAGCTTCTGAATGGTCCTCTTGGCCTATTTTTGTGGAGATATGATTGTGTTTTCCTGGGTTGTTTTTTTTGGTTTTTTTTTTTTTGGTTTTTTTTTTTTTTTTTTGCTTTTTTTTCTACTGCTGTAGTAAACAACAGAGAAACTACTAAAGCAACATGTTATACATGATTATACATGGCAAGGAAATAACTATGCATCAACTCTGTGAAAAGATAGAAAGTAAATAGCCTCTGAAACCAAAAAAAGCAGAGAAATTATTTTCTTGCTAACCTTTAAAGGCTGTACCAATGTTAAACGTTGCATCCAGTACTATGTGGAAAACAGCAGGACAGCTTTATCTTCTTAATTTTCTCCCAGGCAAAGTATTGGAAAAGTATTTCTGGCTTCCAAAAAGCTAACTAGATGGCTTGTGGAAAAACTGATAAATGTGTAATTGTCACTGACTATAGAAGTGAAATTGTTATCAATCGCTACTTTTGTGATGTCTTTTCTAATGTACAAGCTTTGGGAAATAACTGAATTTTATTACCTTGTAAGGATACTTGAACAAATCTGTTTATATTCCAGGCACATTAATGCTTATAGTGAGTTTCTAATTTGAACTGTGGGAAGTGCAGGATGACAGATAGCTGAGCTTTCACTCTTTCCTCAAACGTTGCAACTGGGGACACAGTTGGAAAGAAAAAACTCACTAAACTCATTCTGGTGTTGAATGGCATACACAAGAATTTAGTGTTAGACATCTTGTACAGTCCAAATAGCAATCCCAGCTTTATCATAGGAGCCTAAAATCTATTGCCTTTAAATTCATTTGTTCTTGATTTCTAAATGACTGGGTTTTCTTTATATGCAGTCATCTATACTAGTCACCTGAACCACACTGCAAGGGTCAAATTAATATTTTATTTTTATATGTGCAACATAACTTATCTCAACTGATTTCATCTAGTGATTCTTCACTTTGAGTGCTTGTGATAATTTTTCAATGTTTGGTTTGGTAACATTTAACATTGAGCTCCAACCCTGTCAGACCATCTTTTAGGGATGATCCTGAAAATATTTTAAAACAGGCAATTCAGTTCAACCTGAGTTGCCCAATTAACTGTGCTGGGAATATACCAGTTAACAAGCTCTGTGAAATTTGTAAGGATAGGACTAAATATTGAGCATATTAGACCAAAAAAGTAGTGAAGTACTGTAAAAATGCAGAATTCTATTATTTGCATACTATCTATCATTACATAAGTGTGCTTTCCAGTGTCTAGTGCATTATACATTTCTGAGAGAGCACATGCGTTTGAAAAGTGGTGTTTCTAGAATGTAGGAAAAGGGTTCATCTTACTTCTTAGATCTTTGCATAGCTTTTATTTTCATAACCCTTGCCATCGTCTTTAGTTATGCATATTTGCCTGTGTTTCAACTCTCTCATCTTTTCTATGCTTTATAGAATATGTTAATACACTCTTCTGTTAGTAAATAATTCCATATTTTACCTTGATCACCTTGATTCACTGAACTCTGATTCAGGCATCAAACCAAGTAACTCTCCTGTTTTGACTCCTGTGTCTACTTATAGTTATGAACACCCTTTTCCCACTTAGTCATAATTTGAAACAGATAAAAAATTCCTCCTATGTTCCTTTCTGTCATTAATATCTAAAGCAAAAGGCACAGGTCCTGCCTAATTATTTTTAATAGCTTCTATTAGCTGTCCACTGTCTTTGTCCAAATCTCATCAGTTGTCTATGGGAGTACAGCATTGTATAAAATCTGGAGATTTATTCTAGGCAAACGTTACTCCCGTAGCATCTGCACTACTTTGTGCACTTTGATGCAGTAGTAAAAATGGTTTCTAAGCTAATGTCCACAGCTGGTTCAAAACTAAACAAATGTTTTAGATCAAATTCATAAACGCAAAGCTGTTCCTGAGGACAGGTGTCAGATTTCAAATAGCTGGGTTCCATAGTGGGCTACTAATCATCAGTCACAAGCCTTCTAGCTTCTTCCAGTTAATTGTACAAACAGTCACAGTCTCAGATGTTTTAATTATTTGAGATGGATCAATTATGCACCTAAGAATTCCTCTAGGGCATGCATGTGGGGTTGTGGTGACTTATTATTATTTGTAGGAAGGTTGTCAGCCAATATGAAAATTGAAACAGTGCAGCTAGAATTACCAACCACCCACTATCCAAATCTGTGAACACATGAACCAAGCAACTCGCAGAAAAATAGCCTGGAAATTGGTTGTCTAAACTGTTTCAAGGAAAGCTAACAAACAGTAAATGCATTTAGATGATGAGACTTTGGCAAACAATTTCTAATTCTAATAGAGAAATGTTTGTAACAAGTATTATTTGTGCAAAACAGAGAGGTAGCTTTATTGACTGTCATGAAAGTACATGGAAAGTTGATACATAAGGCCTTGCTTCTCAAGTCTGTCCTCATTTGGATTGTTCTGCATAACTGTGATTGAAATTAACCTGATTTACAGTTTTCTGGGTAGCTTTGGGCTTTTCTTCATGTAATGAGTGTTTCTTGGCTTCTTGAATTATAACACTGCACATAGAGCATTTCCACAGACCTCCGCTGTGTAAAACGGGAGTTCTGTGCTTCTGAAAGGATAGCTTCTGTGGATTTGCCTGTGAAATTGTAAAACCACACTGAAGATGGCTCTGTGAGCATATAGAAAAAAATAATTTTGGAAATCATTATGTAGTATCTGTCTTGTCAATTATGTGCTCCTGATCTTTGAAAGGAGATGAAAACATATCTATTCCTGTATTATTGATAGAGCTGACTGATTCTGTTCTTCTGTTCTGGCTCTGTTTGTAAATATTCTTACCATATTTTCATCCTTTGTCATTTCCATACTTTTTTTTTTTTCCTTCATTAAAGTAAAAATCATCCCCAGCTGTCCACATTGTGAACATTTACAGAGAAGCAGTTTACTCTGCTGAAAGGTTCTGTACTATTTGATGTTCGAGTTTCATCCGTTATTTTTCAGTTGATTTAGCAATCAGTATGATTTATGTTTACCTCTGATATCCAAATGCTTATTTTAGAAAGATTTTTTTTTTTAATGTTGTTCAGTGCTTAAGCTTATGGGAACATATATCAGGATATTTTGCACGCTCCATTTTTCTTGGGAAATGTAGATGATTTGCTACTCTTTCATTTGGTGATAGAATTTTGAGGGTGCCTGGAGACCCTACCATGGATCAGAGCCCCTCTGCTGCCATTTGTTGCACAGAAACAAAACATAATGGAATGCTGGTGGGAAGGTTTGGCCTCTTCCGCCATACCACCACCATCTACATCAGATGTTGCTGGCCAACGGAATAAAATGGGAAGCATTACTTTCAGAGCTGCCCTTGGATGTGTAGAGAGACTGGAAGATCTTCCTCATAGGAGGCATTTCAGGATGGATTTTGTTAAACGTAATCAGACTTCATTGTATACAGTTGTGAATACCATAGGTTATGAATTGGTCCCATATAAGCAGATAATTTGTTCAGATGCAAATCTTGCCCAAATACTGAAGCTGGCATGGGTACATCAGATTGCGTTGAGTGAGCAGATGGCTTTTACACTGCCCTTTTACAGCTGCTCGCTGAATATTTCAGTTTGAGTTACTTCTGACTAGTAAAGGCAGTCAATCAAAGATGTAAATGCAAAGTCAAAAAGGGCAGAAAAATTTTTAAATTCCAATTTTTTTTTCAATTTCTGTAATTATGATTTGAGAAGTACATAAATGTGTGTGCAAAGCGGTCATTTAGCTTTAGCCTTAGCTAATCTATTATGGATCCAGAAAAAGGATCATCAGCTTATGTTCAGTAGGTGAAGGAAAAACTCATACAGCATAGATGATGAAGTGATATGTGTTTTAACCAATGTGACAGTTGCTTATCACTGTCAAATAGTGTGTACTTAGGTGATTCCACATTTTGAGAGACTTTTTGCAGTGCATAGCTTAACAGGCATCTCTACACCTCAACTTATTGTTTTACATTGTGCAAATCAAATTTAAATTCACAAAATTATTAATGACTAATCAAGGGCTACTGAGAGATGGTAGTGTCCCAGGTGGTTGCAGATTGTTCCAGTGTCACTATCTTTTTCTCTGCTCCAATACTTTGAAAGAGCCAGAAGTCAACTTCAATTTATTGACTTTAATTAAATTCCACCTGAATAAATATGCTTTACAGTAAGTTGAAGGAGGTGCTATAGTTTCCTGTACAGTGTATGCAGCTGAGATACAATCTGATAGTGTACAGCCTTAGGTTCTAAGTTACTCTGTTCAGCAAAGGTAAGTACCGTATAAATACATAGCTAATAACTTAGATGGACCTGTAAGGTACGTTTTATAGAACAAGTAAAGCAAACTTGCATGCAGAATATTATTTTTGAATATGCTGTCATTATTCTTAGAATTATGAAAGTCATCAATAGATCAGAAGTTCATTACACTTCCAAGACACAGTCCCAATTAAAATTAGCAGGGTGTTCATTTAGTCAGATATTATCCTATCATCTACCATTATTACATGAATGAAACAGTTAGTAAGGGATTCAGATAGTGGAATACTTTCTGCTCAACAGTCTTGCCTTCAGTAGAATGACATTTATGAATGGTATTTTTAGATTTTATCTGGGATGTAAGGAATTCAGGCAAATGCCAGCTCACTGTCATTCTCTTTCTCAATCAGTACAAAATAGACAAAAAATACTTTCCATCTCCCAAACCTGGACCACAGCTACCTTAGTTGATGTGAGACAAAAAACAAAAACAGCCAAACAGAAAAGGACGTGGAGAATTTTTTAGCTTGGCCAAGGATTATGTTAGTACAGCTTTGAATCATGTATAACCTTAGTCTAAAACTCTTATATCTCCACTCTTTTATGTTCTGTGTAATAACAACCTTCTCAGAAAAAGCAGAACAAAGTAGGAATAAATTCCTTACAGGATCTTTTCTGGCTTTGCTCGGTGACTGTATTTCTCCCTCAGTGATCAGTGTAGTAGCATACATTGGGTTGTCCCTGGGTAGGGCTGCACATATCTCATGGAAGGAGTCCATGATGTGCCCCCACATAGGGCATGAGGAAGCACAGTCTGGCCAGCCTGGCAGGATGGTGCAGACTTGTTTCAGAAGTTCAGGGATATTGCAGCAGACTCATGACCAGCTGAAGTTTTTTGTCACTGTTTATGCCTGATGTAAATATATATCTCATTACCTATCAATACTGAAGTGAAAAGCACAAAAATATTTAAATGCTCTGATTAGGAGTGTAATTTCCTAACAATGCTTAAACAACTACTTTTCTTTCTTCTTCGTAGTCAGTTGGTAATTGTGACATTTTTCTTGGCTTTAACTGTGTGTCCCTGAAGGCAAATTAAAGACCCCCTGTGATTAAAACAGTGGAAATCATGTTGTTGAAGTGACATTAACAGAGATTCTTATTAAAAGTTGGCCCCTGCTGCTTGTGGTTTCTCAAGACATAATACTTCTTTAGCAAATTTTAAAATACAATTACATGATGCCAGACAACTAAAAACCATGCTATAGCACAAATGTTAAGTGAGAATTGGAGAAGTAATTATGGACTGTCATAATACCTGGAAGAAGAAGCGCTAGTAGATTGTTCAGTATTAAATTTAACAGATCAGTGGTTTTGTTGCTGATGTGAAGCAGATCTCTTGGCATAATATGATTGTATGCAGAAGAATAGTATGAGCCGCTCTACTGTTTTAAAATTTGCAAGGCATTTATGTAGTGTTACACAAATACATAGCATTTATGTAGTGTTACCCAAGTGCTGGTGGAAATATAATGCAATATCCTTTGTAACCCTCTGCCACAAAAGTATGTTTAAATAAGTACTTAACGTGACATGTATCAGAAGAAAGTAAAAATGCTATTTTCCTGAAACCAGTTAACACTTTCTCTTGAATCAGCAGCTTGTGCTTCTCTTGTAACTTACACAACGATTCTGTTTTTACCTCTACAGCTTATTTTCCTTTCCCTTTCAGGCAATTGCGAAAGCCAGAAAATGGCCTTTGTGGTAATGCCACTGAGATTCATAACATGAAAGCAATCTCATTATCAGTTTGCATTCCCAGTTGGAAATCGGAGATTGTTCAGCACATCAGACAGTTGAGATGGGGCATGTAATGTGCAGCCCAAGGGCCAAGTGAGACCTGCTGAGTCATATAATGTGGGTTCCAGCTGCCCTCCTCCTGTAGCCGAAGGATGAGGACAAAGCAGCAGAACTGATTGATGCTGCTAATGAACACGAACGACAGTGAATTACTTCCCATCTGCATAACGTGAAAGGAGAAAATACAATCAAATAAGTCCTGTGCTCTCATAATAAATATCTGTGGTTTATATAAGTGTCTCTTTGTAAGTAGCCTGTGTACTTTTGGGTTTTCTGAAGGTAAGCCAATGCTGAAATTAGTGCATGGGGCCAGAGGCTACTACATGAAGCGTGAGTTGCTCTTTGCTTAATAGCAACAGAAGAGGACCACTAGAATCTTGCTTTGTACAAATTCCATGGTAAACTCTTTGTTACAGGAGCAAAAAGGAAAGGAAAGAACAATTCCTGCTTCAATAAGTTGCTTCTTACTCCCTCAAACCTTGGATCTTAGCCACTTGGTCCAAGTAAAATCCCCACTGCATCAGTGAGATGAATCGAGGCCTCTTCCTGATGGATCTCTAGATAACGTTGCATAGGCAAAATTCTATGCTGTGCAAAGAGTTTCAATTATTTTAATAATTGTTTCTGAGTTGCTGGGAAATAAACTCTGAATCTATCATTATTTCATCCAACTGTGTAAATGAAAAATGTAATTGATATAAATAATGTTTTTGTCTTACAGGGTTTCAACAAAGATCTATGAGAGTTTAAAATTCAGAGGGCTCTTTTGTGCCAAAGTTCTAATAATGCATTCATTAGCAAGAAATTACATTGCAGTGTCTGTTGGGCTTACTTCAGTGAAATTAGAAATTCTTTGTTGGTAATTTCATCTTGATGTTACTTCTCTCTATTCACTTGCTCCAAGATGAAGCTTTTCTAAAAATCAGCACTAATACAGTAGCTAAACGTTCTTAATGATATTTAAGAAAATTCTGGGATACAGCCAAGTAATTGATCTTTGAAACCTTGTATTTTATCCGAAGTTCCTAAAGCTGTACACAACTTCAAGCCTATCCTTTTTTTTTGTTTGTTTTTTTCTCCACAGATCTCATCTTTACATTTACAGAGATCTTGAAATTATAAAAGAGGTTTAGCTGAGTGACATATATGTAAAGTGAAGATCCTTTTTTTACCTGGAAAGAAGCACATACAGGTAATGCCCAAGCATTCACATGAACCTCACAAGGTGGGTGGGGGTGTGTGAACATGCTCTTCTGAAAGGTGAACATATAGCTTACTCAAAGTAGCACTCAGATTTTGTGTGAGGATTGTGGGAAGCTATTTGATGTTGTTTTTGTTCTTTTGTTTGTTTGTCTTTACAAAAATGGCAAAAATTTTCCTGGGGTTAAAATCTGAGTTTGGACCGTCCTGAAAATTCTGGAAGAAGGAGTCTCTGTTGCTCTGTGAGTCACGATGAGAGCTGCCAGAAGGTCAGCTCCTCCCGTAGTATGAACTGCATGAGAAGCTAAGAAATCATGAACCTTGACTAGCAGCATCATTTCAAAAGATGAGACCAGAAAGCATCTTTCTGTGTCCTGATAGATTTTATTTCCGTAAATCATTCTTTCGTTGTCTCCTAAAAGTATAATTGTCCTGAAAGTGTTCACGTCTTAAAACTATTAATTCACTTTAGGTTTTATTTTATTTTGTGACTTATGATGTTTGGGAGTGCTATTTTGCACTTGCTGTTGACAATCGTGAGGGATAAAAAACTTAAATTTCCTTAACGTTAAAGCTGAAATTTTCTTCCAGTCTCTTGACTCCAGGAGCTCAGGTCAACTGCTGGCAGACGCTCAATAATTTAGCCCTAATAATTGCTATGATTTTCTCTGTTACAGTACCATCAGTGAGATGAGAATACGAATTACTAGCTGTGAATGAGTATAGATCCGGTGTTGTCCTAAATCCCTTTTGAGCTGCTCATAAAAATAGACCTTAATACTATATGAATATATCAGCTGGGGATTTCTTTACTCTGGATAAACTGTAGTGCTGGAGAAGAATGTCATCTATAAGCCTAATAGGGGCAACAATGTTATGTACCACTCCATTAGCAGTTGTATTTGTTGATACATTTAAATGACTACGATCTGCTATGTAATGAGCTTTAAAGTGAAGACAACTTCTGAGATTAGTGTATGATTTATGTGTTGTCTGGTTTCAGTCTGGATAATGGCTCTGATGTACTTCAAAAACTGCAAACAACAACAAAGCCAAACAAACTTCGGTTCCTAGAGAGGTGTTCTAGTCGTGATCAGAAATGTTACAAGCTACAGAACAAAGACCAAATGGTTCAGAGAGTGATAGTGTTCTTGAAAGTATTCATGTAACTGTTTCTAGTTAAAAATCCTGAGAATAAGCTACAGTACCTCAGAGCTTCTGTCTGAGTATACACTTTGCAGTATAAAGACAGGTTGGATAGCCAGCTTGCTGCCTTCAGTAATCTGTGTTGTATTTTGCCTCAGACTCCTAAAACAGGCGTGAATTACATTGTTCTGAGTAACATTTTGGGGCAGAGAACATTGGCGAAGCGTAAAAGAATTCAACAGGCTACATAGCAGCTCATCAACAGCACAATATAACAAAACAGAGAGACGTTTTATTAACTTTTCAAGTTGCTCTTGTTCCGCTGTTCTGAGAAGGTGTTGTTCTTTGTTTAAACTTCATAGAGGCAGGAGCAGTCTCCAGAAGCAACGGCCACCAAATACAAGAGAATCCTTTTTTTTTTTTTGTTTAGCAGTAAAGCATGCCACAGAATGAAGGCAAGCATTGTGAATGGCACAGCCTAAAAGCCCCTCAAATTAAAAACATAAAGGATGCAAACCTCTTACAGATGAACGTGCCAGGAAAATAACACTGGGAAAGTAATGTCTGTCTCTGAACAAAGAGAGCTCTTTGAAAGTAAAAATAAAGAGATATAGCAAACCAATAAATACAATGAAGACATCAAAAGAACTCACCAAAAGTGATTATATCAACTCAAAAATATTAAGTATTCTAAGGTGCAAAACAGATCAAAGGCTTCTTAAAGATATCAAAGGGGAAGCCTATGAGGATACTAAGAAGCAAAAATAAATTAATGAAAACTTGTATATGTATACCACCGTTTACAGTGGAAAATGGAATACAGTAATCTAGGATCAGCCAAACCGTTTGGTAGCAATAATCCCTTGGTCTTTTATGGGCTGAAATTAAAATGCAATATATATAAACCCTGAAAATTCGATTGAGTTTGCGGTCACGGTTACGTAAAAGCCTAACCTGCAAATTAATTAAACTTCTTTGAATGTCAGAATAAAAGTGATAGAGAACAGGAGATCGATGATAGGGTATTTAAACATCAGGGAAATCTCTGACTTGGATTCAGAAGAATTTGATGAAGAACTTCACTGGAGTAGTTACACTGATGCCAGTTAGTAGGCAGAAAGATAGATATTCTAGTTTTTAAATTAGAGTCTGTGTAGAGTAATCTAGAATGTATTTCCACATCTTTTTGGTATTCACAAACTGAGAATACAACACTTGAGGATCTCATAGGCACAAACTATTCTTTTGAACTTGGGTCATGACAAAATCCCACTTAATGTTTCTCACTGAGACAGTACATATGGTTTCTGGGTTTTTCTTTCCTTCAGGGCATTTTGTCTCTTTTGCTTTTCTGAGTATGTGGATACCCAGTACGTGATAAAACTGAGGCCTCTGCAAGGTTAATTCACCAATCAATGTTACTCATCGAATCAATTGCCTGGGGGGGACAGGGAGGAGGAAGTTCACTTTGCACTGTTTCAAAGGTACTAACAGTTTGCGCAGATTTTATAGACCAAAGAACTGCTGGAGAGAACTACCTGAGAGCCATTCTTAAAGGCTGAGGCAGCCTGTAATGCTCTATCTGATAATAACCAGATTATAGCTCCACAATTCCAACAAAGAAACACAAGTGATATGAAAGTGTAGTGAGTATCAATTTGCCCATTATCTCTAATGAAATTAAATAATGCATATGGGACCGCACATTTGAAGAATAAATTCATATTAAAATTCTTAACAGCGTAAAGATTAAGGCAATATGATTTTTTAAAGCTTTCATCCAGGGAAAAATAGCTTACTGCTTGCTTTAAGTAAGATTAGCCACAAAAATCCTATAGCGTATCTAGAACAAAGTCTGAGTGACAACAAGCAAATATTTTAATGTGGAAAGATTTTTGTTGGTTTTAATTAAACAATGACACTTCCATTGAATGCCTTAAATCTTTAATTATTGCCCAAAAGCACTGAGCACAACATGCCTTATTTACCGAGTCGCAGTGAAATACAGTTCAATATTTTCCTATAAATACTTCATATAAAACCAGCACAAGGCTCTCACTGGAAACAACTGCAATTTTCAGTTCTGTAGGTGTTTCCTGAGGTACTTCAGAGCCTGATGTGAGCAGCATGGAAGACATTTTAAAGGATGATGGTGAGTACTTCCTTGAGTTCAGAGTGTTAGCACTTGTAATAGTTATACTTGTGTACTTGTAGTAGTTATGTGTTTTCCTGTGATGATACTGACTTGAATCTGCCATCTGTGAGAGGCTTTGAATATATAGCTATATATTTGGATTTCAGGAGCCTCCTGGACCTCTTGTGGTCTTTCCAGCAGATATATAAGTTATTTACAGAGAGAGTGGTGAGGTGCTGGAACAGCTGCCCAGAGAGGCTGTGGACGACTGCAGGTGTTCAAGCCCAGGTTGGATGGGGCCCTGGGCAGCATGATCTAGTATTAAATGTGGAGGGTCGTGGCCCTGCATGTGGCAGGGGGGTCAGACATACATGATCTCTGGGGTCCCTTCCAACCCTGGCCATTCTGCAATTCTGTGATTTAGTGTGGACTCATCTTGAGGGAGATAGCCATCTCAGAACTCAGTGCTGTGCATGGCTCTTACCTAAGCACCCGGGAACTCCACACTGGCAGAAAAGGAAGGATAAAAAAAGGGCCAACAACCATGAGGAGAGATCTCTGACATGAGAAGCCTCACGACCTGCTTCTCTCCCTCCCAGGCTTGCTCTGCGCTCTACCTGCTTGCTGCCTGAGGCCAGTAACGTTGCTGCTGCTCTCCCCCTGCCCTTTTGCAATGAGATGCCTCTGGGTCCTGGTGGTTGACTATCCATGCTTTAAGTAATTCTTGCTTCTTTCCTATTGCCGCTTTCCCTTCCCCACCACCCTAATTCATAATAGTGTTTGTCCTCCCCTCCCCCATCTCCCTGATTGAGATTTGTTATAAACTGGTCGGACCAACATTTGAACCGTTATTTCTTAATGTCACATCAGGTATACATATATCAAAAGAACCTCCTCTTCCTCTGTTAAATTTGAGCGAGACGCATGGTTGAGATTTCCATGGGAGTTCAGCACTCTTGTGTTCCACAACAATGTTGAATTTCAGCCCAGATCAGTTTTGTCATGAATGTCAGAGAGCCAGTACTATGCCACTAATAACAAGTTTATGTTTACGAATAGCTACAGAGATAGCGAGAAAAGATGAGGCAGGCAAGAAAGCAGACTTTGGTCTGGAGGTTTTATCTTAGTCATTCATAAAACATAGAATTAAAGCCTATTAAATTAAAGAAAAAATGAAAGAATTAAAGCTGAAATATGTGAAGCAACTCTCCCTAAATTCAACTGTCTTATGAGCTACATAGTAAGGCATATGGAAGAGGAAGGAAGCAGGTGTAGCATTACTACTTGCATGTAGATACCTAATCGTTGTGCCCGTATGTGGAGGCTCATTATTCCAAGCTTCCCTGAGCTGATGGGAAATAAATCACTTTTTCAGGCTGGTTTAACACTGTGCGCCATATTTGTGATGTAGATCCTTAGCTGGATGAGTAGTCTTCTGTCCAATGAATGTTTTTTGCCTCCTTGAAGTAGGACGGTTTGTGACAGGTTTACCAAAGGAAATGGATGAAATTAGAAGAAATCTGCATAAGATGATGAGAACAATAAGCGACTTTTTTTTAGAATGGCACCTGATGTAATCTCATTGTCATACAGGGCATTTCTGAAATTTTACCAGGTAAATCCCAACAACAGTGAAGGAAACCTCTAGCTCAGTTATGTTTTTAGAGGCCAGACCTGAAGAGATAAAAGACCAGACCAACTGGAAGCAGAGTAGGGGCTTTTGGCATTGATGAGGATTAATGCTTGGATGGCTGAGGGCAGCCTATGGTTCTTCACTGTATCCACGGTCTGCAGCATGGACTCCTTCTCCAAGAGACACCACCCCTACTCATCTGAGTGTGAGAATGTGCCTCTGTCATTACTTTTCTGTGGTATACCCCTTCTGATAAAATCTAGACTCTCTGGCTGTAGGAATGGGAATTTATTCTGTTAATCACAAGCTAAATTCAAAGGTTCGTATTTCTGCTGGTGTAAGTTGGTAGGCCCGTTGTGCAGAAAATTTGCCAAATGGGAAATGGTAATGGGAAAAAACAGCTGCTGTTTTTCCTGTTAAAATCATGGGCCCAATGTAGAGCCCAAACTGTGCTCTTGTTTTCCTTTCCAGGAAGAAAGCTCGAGAGTGTGTGAAAGCATCAGTACTGCCTGATCATGACACAGAACATGCTTCCAAGAAAATCGTGGAGGCTTATTTATTTCTCAAAGGTGTATCTTATAGAACATTTGAGTGGTCCATGTTTGCAATTTTACCTTCTAGATAACATTTTCTACATTTTCCACGATATTGAAGAGAAGGAACTTTATTCTGCAATTCAATAATGTTTAATATTTTTACTTAGGTGTTACTTATTGGGTTTTCATGAAAGAAAAACATGGAAAAGGTAGGAAATTGACCTTGTGTATACAGGCCTTGTTTATACGGTCCCTCACAACCAGAATCAGCAATACATCTCATAAATCAAACATATCTAGCAAATAAATTTTGCTAGAAAAAAAAAGAAAAAGAAAACCCTCTTATCAGAAGCCTTAATAAAAAGAAAAAATTTATTTAATATCCATTGTGATCTTAAAACAGTGACTCATGCAGAACAAAGACAGGAAAAATAGCTTTTTTGAGACAGAAGTTTTCTATATCATTTTGACAATAATGCTTTCTGAACTCTTTGGCTCTGCTTTAGTCAGGACTTTCGATTTTATACAAGATCAAGTCCAACATAGAAGACTTAATGCTACATCTTATACCTTGTTCATTTAAAGATAAAGAAAAATAATCTTCTAGAAATCCTGATAACATTAATGCAGAGGAAACTAGGATGCAAGTGTTACCTTGGGATGCTTGTGCCTTATGCTGCTAGAGATGTTTTCTTCCTTCCTTGGGGGAAATGTTACCACGTGCTGTGTGGGTAACTTGTCCCCAACCAATTTCCAGGACAGTATCTAACATCAACCTGTGAAAGTTTCCTTCATTGAAATTAATTAGTGACGCTCACTACAGCAAAGGATATCTTAGGCCTGATTACTTGTCCATTGAAATTAAATGATAGTCTTCTATTCATTGCATTATATGTGACATTAAGATAGTATCCAGGAAGCATATCGGTTTTGAATGCATTAGTGTACTGAAAAAGTGTTTTTCTTAAGCTTTAGTTACTTCTATTTCTTGAAGACATCCACTAGTCTGAAGCAATTATTTTATGCTGATAAAAAAAGCACTATTTACTTTTAAAATGACCTATTCAGCTCTGTCATATGCATTTTACTCCAACTACTCTAAGTGTTCTATTCAAGGTCTTCATTTCACCGTTGTGTATACTGATTTTGGTATGTTTTTATTTGAGAGAGACCAAAATGTACCATACGTAGATAGCTGCTGGTGCCTATCTCTGCAATCTTAGACAAAGCCTGAGGTTGTTTTTTTTTTTCTGAAACAGTAAACATTGCTATTAATATGTAAATCCATTGTGCCAAGGGTGCAAAGCTGCTGATTACATTTATGTCTGAATTTTGGGGACTGTTATAAAAGGCATGTCAGTATTAAGAATATGATGATGCTTGTGATTTTTATTTGAAGCACTTAGAATCACTTCGATTTGTATTTACATTATAATTTCCTGGAAAATATTTGAGAATTCAATAGTTAAATTTTATTCTTTCACAGGATAAAAGAATTGCAAGAAAATAGCAGCTTGGAAAAAATGTTGGACAGGAAGACAATGCTTGTCCAGTTTTAGGTTTTTATATAATATAGTCTTTATACAAAAATATAATTTTATTTGTTTGTTTGTTTGCTTTATTCCAGGGTCAAACTGTACTGTTTCAAAATACAGCTCTATCTTTGGTAAGTTTTGGTGCGATTTTCTGGCTTAATTGAGGTGGGTAGTTTTGTTATGCTCTGATTTTATTTGAAGGTGTTGTGAGAAAATCAGAAATAGAAATTAATATTGTTATGCTCTGATTTTATTTGAAGGTGTTGTGAGAGAGCACACGTGGTAGTTTTAGTTTCATATGAACTTTGAAAGTTTGACAGCTTTCAAGATGGCTTGTAACTTTCTTGAAGAAACTTATTATCTCTAAAAAAAACATCAGAAAATTGTTTGGTTAGTTCCCTGCATTAACATCCCTGAGCAGGTTTGTGTCAGTCACAGGTTGATGACCTACGTCTGTCTCCTGGTGAAACAGCTTCTGTATTAGATAGATTCAAAATCTATCATCACAGCTACCCTGACACAATTTATTGAAGTGTTATCTGTGACATGAAGGAGCAGACAAGGAACTGGTGTCCTCTTTTGTTCCTCTGAAATAATAGATAATACCTGAAATACAATCACAGAGCAGGTTTTAAATGCTTGCTTTATTGCTCCTGTGTGACCTCAGATTTGAGACTTCTTTTTTAATGCCTATCTGAGTACAAGAAGATAAAATAAACTGTAGATCACTAACATTTTCAGTAATGTTGCTGTTCTTCTATGGAGAGTTGTGACAACTGATGTCTTTTTTTGTCTTTGGGCCAAGCGTTTGATGTCTTGATGAAATAGCCCTGTACAGAAATGTAAACAGCATGCTCACCCTTAGCACATCTGCCCTCTGTAATGGAAAATTATTGTTCATTTTGTATAGAAATTAATAGCTGCAGAACATAAGAAAATGTTTGTTTTGATGTTGTCGGTGCAAGAAGGTTTTCAATATCAACTTTTTTGGACATGAGATATTTGTGTTACTGGATGGTTAACCTACAGAATCTAATTTTCAGATGCTTCAAATTTTGCTCAGATGTAATTACTTGACATGAATTGGGAAAATTCTGAAAGTATTCATTCATTAGCATAGAAAAAATATTTACCAGTTTGAATTTAAAGTAATCAATTCTGATTGTTAAGTAAGTGACTGTTTTGGCAAAGAGAGGCTGCTGCATCATGGCTGTACCCTTTGCTTTCTGTTGAAAATTTGACCCCATTTATCCAGGTTCAGGCTGCTAAATGCAGACTTTTAATGTTTTTTTTTTTTTTTTTTTTTTTTTTAATCATGATTGATCCATAAAATGTTTTCTAGCCATTGTATGTCTCATTTCTTCTACTGAAAATGTTGTCAGCTGCTCCTGGCTGAAAGGGAAAAGAAGAGGAAAGCTGCCTGACACATGTACCAAGGGAATAAGAACTAGATCTGCTTGGAAAATAGGTGTGTGGGAGAACTAGAGATAAGAAACCACAGTAGAGGGTATTGTGGCAAGAATCTAGGAAACCAACAGAGTATCTGTATAACATTCTGAAAGGGGTTAAAAGTATTTTGTGCCAGAATTCTGAGTTGGCCAGGCATTAAGTTAATTGTGTCAGTATGCCTCTGCTAATAAATCCTGCCACAAAATAAATGAGAATTAATTGGGCACAGTATCTTAGATTAGATAAACTAGACCTGGGACGTGGGGAACTTAGCTCATCAGAATAAGCTAAGATAACAGGGAGTAAAGTTTTAAGAGGTTCTGGAAAAATAAAGAAAGTGGAAGTGGAATCAAAAACCATTTATATGGTTAGAATTTACAAATGAAAATATTTTTCACATGCATCAGTGTCTCAGTAATTAAGTCTTTACCTTAATCTTTCTAGTTTAGCACTGGGTAGATGAATACATATAGATGCGTATCCTTCAAAATCAAATCAGCAGTAGCAAAGTTTCTGCAACTTTTAAGGAGAAAAGTGGATTTAGATTCACGTGATTTAGGATTGCAACTATGTGACAATGGGTATATAAAAAGTGTATGAGAAACTGAAACAATGTGAAATCTGGCTTTAACGTTACTTTGCTGTGGAACTGTTTTTATTTCCTCCTTATGGCATGATGTATTTAATTTCCAGGACTCTTCTCCTTACATGTGGTGGGTTCTTTGTGAGGAAGACTGATACAGAATTTCACCATGGAGAGACCTGTATGGCTCCTAATTTAGCAACTTATTATTACTCTTAAGTTATGGTACGATTCTATGTAAATTGCTCTGGAAGTAATGCTTCCTATTTATGGAAAGTGCAACAGATACTAAGAACACAATAGCACTATTTGATAGAACAAATTCTCAGCAACAAAACACTGCTTTTCATTGTGGTCACCATTATTAGCCGATTTGTGCAGATGATCTGATTGAGGTGCTCTCCATCTTATGGTGTGACTTCTCTAGATAAAAATCTGGAATGTAGCTTATCTTTCATGCTCCTGATACAATTGTTAAAATGCATCACCCACTGTCTCATTGTGCTCACATCCACTGTTTGGTCTCCATGCATGTTCAGCAAGCATTGATAAATATCAGTGGGTTTATTTTTCCTGCATGGAGGAATTCAGTTCACACCTTTGCTTCATACACACTTCCATGTCAGATGCAATTTTGTCAGAATGCCCCTCTGCTGTCATCAGTCATATGGCAACAAAAAGTAATGGAATATTGGCAGGAAGGTTCAACCTCTACTGAAATACTGTCAACATCCATGTCTGACGTTGTAGGCGCACATAATAAAATGGGAGGCATTAATTTTGGATCAGCTCTAATAAATAAAAAAATACTATTGTCTTTTATGTATGAAACATATGTAATTGAAAAGTATTATACAAATCAATTACTTTTTATATAATATTCTAAGAAATATGGTATTTTTTTCAAGAATTATATTAATATTTTAGGAAAGGGACCAAATATTTCATGATATTTTATGAATAAATCCCTATTCAAGTGTATTTGTGTATTTAGGTGTATTAGATGTATTTGTAAGATTTTAAATGTTTTCTTGTAAAAATGCTTAATCTAGAGATGCACCTCACGTATCTCTCAAGCCTAAATATTTATAAGTAGTTTCCTCATTTTTTTAACATGAGTATTCATAACCCACAAAAGATTATGACAGAAATATCATTCTGCATGTAGTCATACAGCAGCTTTGCCAAAGTAAAGTTGTAGAACTTTAAAAGCAATAATAAACTTAACTGAAATTTTTTTCAAAATCAGGACTGTATACTCATACTTCTCTACTGAATATTTGAATCTTGTTTTCTAGGCACTATTAAGTATTTATTTCGGTCTCCCACTGCAACTAAGTCAGGAACACATTTCAGGACTTCAATCAGTAACGTGTCTTACACAGCATTGCATGCTTACAAAAATTTACATTACATACTGTTAACTGGTATTCACTAAACATTGGCAAATAGAACGACTTCTGTTTCCGTACAACATGTAGCCAACAGCATGAAAATTAGTGGTCATTTCTAAGGTAATGGTGGTATTGATTTTTATTTCTCAGTCTCCATCTGCTTAGGAGCCAACAGTCTGGGAGCTGAAACTTTGCCATAATCTCTGTGGGCCGATATGGTCAGAAATTAGACCTAAAATATATTTTTCTGTAACTTCTACCTGTCAGAAATGTGTTTGAGTTTCCAATTTTTTCTTTTTTGTTTTCTTGATATCATGCTTTCCATGAGCTCTGAATTAGTTTTTAATGAGAGTTCTTTTTTTCTTTTTTTTTTCTTTTTTTTTCTTTTCCCTAGGAGAAATCCTTGCTTATTTTTCTGTGGGTCATAGCTGGGAACTTTTCCTCTTGTATTACATTAGGAAGCATAACTGCTCAAGAGGTTTACAAATTTTAGATCCTATCTCCAGGTGCCTTCATGGTAGCATGCCTGTCTGTGAGAAAAAGCCTGCTGGACTCAGAAATGCACTGATGTTAAAAGTTCTTTGATGATATCACTGCATGCTTACTCAGGAAATGGAAAAGCTTCATTGCTACGAAAAGTTCTGTTATAGTCATTTGATCCCAGAAATACGCTAGTTTGTTTTTCTTTTGTTCTGGTTTGTTTCTTTGTTTTTTCCCTCCCAGATTCTCTTTTGTTCTGTTGGTCTGTACCCAAAATATCATTTCTAAGTCCAAGTTGGAGAGAGTTGAAAGCTGTGTTCAAGGGTGAATCCTACCAAGTAATGTGATCTCCGAATATTGTAACAAGATTGATAGAAATGACTTTAACATTTCTCCCATTATAACCGACTCTCTGACTCCATCTCTGTGAGACAGAGAACACATACAAAATACAGTTTTCTTTCACAGGATTACTCAGAGAACCAGCACATAAAAACTGAACGTGACTTTTTTGATCCCAGCATCAGCACACTAGCTACAGCTGAAATGGTGCTGAGAGGATTTTACCTAGTGGTGGGGCACCCAGTCGTAGACACAAAAACTGCAGCTTTTATTATCACTCTATGGTTAATGTGTCCTTTAGGTGTCACTAATAAGGTATACTTGAAAAGTTCAGATTTTGTAAGATTTCTATTAGATGTATTGTTTTATTCAGAACTTCAATTGAAAATCATGGAAGGTCCTGTAGTTCATTAGCTGAAGACAGTTGGTGGTAACAGAGAGATTAATATATGCTTGTTTCTAATTCTTGGATGCCACCATAACTGGAGAGGCATAAAAATGCATCTTACATAAAATACAAATTAAAACAAGTGAATAATTATTAACTACATCACCCTAAAGGCAGGCAGCATTTTAATGTTAGAGTCTAGTAACAGTGCATGAATTAAGAAGGATTAATTTTTCTGAGGCAGTTCAGAAGTATTTAGCCTTTATTCTGCCCTTATTTAAAATGCCTCATATAATACTTCTCAATATTTTACATAATTTAAGGTTTTCTAGCACATTTTGTTCTCTCCCTATGAGATTCCTCAACATGCTGAAATTCTCCTAATGTTTGGAGAGATTCTGATTCATTATGATTTGGACAGGTCATATGTTTTTTGGCTTTGTATCTGTATTCTGTAGTATCAGGGACTGTTACGGATCAGCTTCCTCAGCTAGGGAACTGCTTTGTCTGTCGAAACAGAGATAAACTTACATATGTATATGTAGATGTGTATACAGGTGAAGATATTCTGAAACTGCCTGAGCACCACAGTTTCTTGACGGTTTGGCATCAAGGAGTCGCAGGAAATGCTTATATTCTCTTCATTTAATTAGGCAGCAAAGGTGCAGCAGAAAGTGGTGTCTAATCCTTTGGCAGCAAATCAGAAAAAAAAAAAAAGACTGATGTTGTTAGGAAATAGAAAATATACATGAATTACATGCACTTTTTAGGACATGAGGAAATTGGTTTGGGGCTGCTGACCAACACCAGCAAAGCGTTCAACAATATTTGAACCTATTTAAATGGATTTAACTGTAAAGCCAAAAATAATTGTATCTGATTGCTTTTCTAGATTGGGCTAGTATTTTTGCAGGAAGCTGCAATTAACAAAAAGTGAGGTTCTTACTGGTCTATTTTAACAAACATCCAGATGTGTGGATACATATAGCCTGTGTAGATACAAATAATTTGTTATTTAAGAAACAGAGCAATAGAAGGAGATATAGAGAAAATGAATAAGAGGAAAAGTAAAATAGAACACTCAGCAATTGTGGAAGTTTCACAAGAGAGTAGAAATCATATTACCATGTTAGTGCCATTATTAAGCCTTTGATAAAGCACTAGATGTGGGTATTACCACAAGATAGCCTGGATTAAAGCTATTAGCAGAGCACAGAAACACCATCTCCGCCTCCTGACTGCATCTGTCAGTGTATCTTTTGATCCTGCTTTGTAACGTGTCTCCTATTTCAGTTCTGGACTTCTGTGCCTTTCCTCCACAGAGCCTTCCAACTCTAACAGATTACTTCAAAATACGTAGTAGCTTTGTGATGTGAACAAACATCTACTGGGATCAGATTCTTTAAAGTATATATGAATAGTAAATTAGTTAGATGGAGCTCTTGTGTGCCTGAAAAGTGTTTCAGTTCCCTCAGCATGAGAGCTTTATCTACGTTAGAAAGCAAATCATAATCAAAGAGCCCCACACCGGCTTTATATTTTGACCTTGGGCAAGTCACTAAGGCCTTCTGTGGCTCAGTTTGAAGCTCGTATTCCAACATGTGCAAAATACTAATGTTTTGTGCATCAATATGTGCGTTCATCAGTTCTTGAAGGTTTGGGTTTGTTGTTTTTTTCTGAGTAGAAATAAGAATCTTAGAGCTGCCTTTTATTTTTTTTCCTAAAACCTTTTTATTACTTTTGGCTAGCACTATACACAGTATTTTTGCACGTGTTTCCAACCCCTATTGGCTACTTCAGTAAAAGAAGTTCTTCAGTTTACAACATAGACCTTCTGAGTTGTACCTCTCTACCTAAGGATGGCCCTCATTGGGTTTTAGTCCTGGCTATCACAGCTTCAGCTGTGACCCCTGATTTCACAGCCTGTCTCTGTTGTCTATAAATGCTTCTCTTTCTCCTGTGGGAAGAGCAGCAGACTTTTTATTTTTTTTCTGGAAAAGGCCTTAGAGACTTTGTTTTACACCAACTTTCCCACTCTTAAATCTGTATCTGAGTTTTTTTTTAATAGTTCCATATCCCGTAAGGTGAGGTGATTAACATAAGGTGAGGTGATTAACTGAACTCATTTGATGGTCCCATATCAGCAGACCTTCTACTCCTAAACACTGTAGAATTATTTAACTTTAGGAAGCACTTGTGCTGCTGTTATCTATCTTTATTGCTTTCTTTTTTTTCTTCCTTCCTTTCCACCTCCCATCCCCAGGTGTTTCTAATAGCAATTACTCTTTTTCAAAATCTGATTTCCAGGAATAGGAATGTGGAATAAAAGCATATCCTCTGCAAGCTTTTCTTAGGTGGCTTCAACAATTCCAGAGGAAAGACAATCTTCTATTGAGTAGCAGCTCAAACATTTGAAAATACCAAACCCAAGGAGATGTATCCAAAAGGAAAACAGGAATCCAATTTTCCTAAGATCTCCATCAGAAAGCAGCATAGCTATGTGGCTCTCCATCTTCACAGGACATGGATAACAAGGTAAGTAGTTTGGACGTGATAAAAGCATGAGTTGTTTAGCAGTTCCTAAGGACAGTAGTGTAGATGATGCAAGACTATCCATTTTGGACTTTTCTACAGAGCACTAGTGGGAATATAAATGATTTCTCCCTTCCCAGAGAAATCAACTTGTTATGAATTCCAAGGCTCACAGAGATGGGCCTGAAGAACATGTTTCCTGCATTTAGAAAGGGAAGTTAACTGTTGTTTGAATCAGATTTCTTTTGGCCATAGTTCTGGTCTGGTCTTAAAAAATAAATCAAACAAGGACTGTTATTGTAATGTATTAAGTTATATGTAGGGTTAATTATTAACAATTTTAGAAAATGATGGATCCTGTTCCTTCTTTGTCTACCCAGTCTTCCTGGAATTTCTGATTTAGCATCTTGACATTTTCCCCTGTTTTTTAAGCCTTTCAAATATTCTTCTTCAGTTGGGTACAGTTTTTAAAATTTCTGATATGCTTGTCTCAGCTGTGTCAATGCACAAAGGAAATAATCCTTGATCTTTCTGGAGAGCCTATCCCAGCTAAGAAGATAAGTTGTGTCCGGGATCAAGTGTTCAGGCTACAGCTGTCCAGACGAGCTGATTGGTGACATCATGCCTTCTCTCTGAAGCTTGTAACTTGCAGTTATTTCTCTCATTATTAGCCTCTTATAATTCCTCTGCCTCTCAACACTGCCTAATTGTACACTGGACTGGCTTTCCAGCCAGTACTTTTAGCTTTATTCTGACTGCAGGGTCATCATCTACTTTAACCAAAAGTACTTTTAGTACAGTTTTACATTTGCTTGTCTTTGGAACACAGTTTTTGTAGAAACAAAACAAAACAAAAAAACAGAAAAAGAAAAGGACAAAGAATAACTTATAAGATGTCAGTGCTCTAAAACACTTGATGAATGATATGGTATTTGAATGATGAATGATATTTGTTTGCTTGAATTCAGAGGTTATTTTGTTTCTTTTTCTTGTCTTTCAGTAGGCAGTGTGTACTGATATTCTTCAAACAGTACATACTGTCCTGTAAATAATACTGTTGTGCCTGTAGGGTAAATTTTCCTGGTTCTTTGTGTTTTGTTGAGGTAAACAGAAGACTTACACTTTTTTCACTTGATGGAAAATTCATTTTAATTACTCTACCTTAACTTGGATTGTCAGTTTAAATTCACCTGCTGAGTGCTATCAACTGGTGCTGGCATCTGTATTCATGCTTGAAGATGTCTGTATTCATTACTGGATTTCTTTAGCTTAACAAAACTTAGAATCAAACGCAACCCACAAAGCAAGCATTTATGCATTGAGAGCTTTTGCTGCTGAATGAAAGTATTGTTTCACGCATTAACAGTCCAGTCTGATTATGGAACTCTTTCTCTTTCTGGTGGGAACCACTGTAAGAATAACATCATTACCATCTGTGTCCTCAGCAGAGACTTCATATCTGAACGTTTAGCATTTCAAGAATCCTACAGATGTTGCTATTGCATTATTCATTTAGTGAGAGACTGCCACAGCTGTGTACATTCCTGTATACTCTTTCAAACAATCTGGCAGCAAACTCTAATTTGAGCAGTGCAGGATATGTACTGCAGTTTTCATGGGTATTATTCTGATATATAGGAATTGTGCCTGGTAAACTTGCATCTCTGAAGAAGCAAAGCAAAATATTATCACTGTACATGGTCAGTTTCAGAAGTCCAGTGATGATTTAATGGATTGAAAATGAACATGCTTCTTGTACATTTGAATGGTCTTGTGGTAGTAAAATCACCTACAAGAACCCTTTCAAAGCTATCCATTAATTTGTCAATCAATAGATTGATAGGGTGAAAGAAGTGAATTAAACAAAGAAAGCAAGAGAAATGGTGAAGGAAATGGAAGGAGTGAAATGGGGGAAAAAAGAAGGGAAAAGATGGAGGAAATAAAAGAGAATGTGAAATACAGTGTGTGTGGAAAAACTGAAAAGAGGGCAGCAAAACAGAGCAGAGACAAAATGAAAATGGAGAGAATAAAAATGAAAGGAAAGAACTAAGGAAATAGTTGTTGAATTATGGAAAGAATAATACAATCTGAATTAGCTACTATAAAGTGTATCAGATCTAATACCAGTTCTAAAATGTTTTCTGTGAGTTAGTGGTTAATACCTTGGTTCTGCTGTGACTGCACAACAAAAAGTAAAGAGGATTGGAATCGAAATTTCCAAATATCCTTTGAATAAGATTCTTCCCCAGGAATCTGCAGAAATAGGTACAAAGCTCAGTTTATATCTACACATAGAGACTGATATTGGAAGTTATTCAATTGCTTGAAAGCAATTTGTTTTCATAGCTTCTGACTGGGCAGCCAAATTGGAAGAAGATCCACAAGGCTCACTAAAAAGACTTTAAATCCACAGCAGTGTGTCTGAAAGTGAAAACTGACCTTACTTCAGAGATGTCTTAAGGAAAGTGGGCTGATACTTTCTGAATTCTAGGGAGCTTGTTCTCCTTTTTATTCACTAGTTAAATGTTAATCATAAAAACTTAACAAGTTCAAATGTGAACGTTGAGTGATTTCTTTGCATAATCTGTGCGAATAAAGATCAAAGTCAGAATGTCTTCATTGTTCTGGGTCTCGCTGAGAGACAGCAATTGAAATTAATGCTCAAAACGTAATGAAAGCGTAAGTCAGAATAATCACCTCTGTTGCTGACACCTAAATTAACTATCTCAGTGTGGAAAATATTTATCCCATCTAACATGGCAAAGCAGCAGCTTTTGCTTGGCAAACACAGAATAGACAGATTGTAGTAACATGAGTTTTGTGGGCAAGGGAATGCCCGTAACTTTTTATTTCTGTGTCAGTCTTAAAATTTCCTTCATTTTATCTTCCCTGCAATGTGTAATCAATGTGGGAGAGGAGAGCCATCTTCAGTTCAAATCAGTAATCAGCAGGTGTTAAGGCGTATGGTCAACAATCTCTTCTTTATCTCCCAAGAAGAACAGGAGGGCTTTTCTCTACTCGTATAGTGGAAATCTCTTACTCCTTTGTTGTTATATTTCTCCTGTTCTTAGGGAAGCTGCAGTAGGTTGTTTATTGCTGGGTAAGGAGAAAAAGAATTTCTTGCTGGGCGTGACATATCCATATTCACTTCTTCTTGTTGGTTCTCCTATGGCACCTGGGTGCATAGACAATGTGAGTGGCGACTTGTGCTTGGTATTGAAGTTCACTCACTTGCAGGGAATTCTATTAACTTTTTCAACCTTTGTCTGATGAGATGAAGACCCTGGGATCTTAATGTCAGTGAATCCTCACTCTAGGGCTCTGAAGAGAAAGCTCAATGTCCTACGCTACTGTGCAAATTTCATAATCTGCTTGAGCTAGACTCATTGAATAGTACCTCGTGATAGTTACAGAGGAGGACTGTGCTATTTTAGATCTTCACTGCTCCTTTTGGATTGGTTTAATAAAGCCCTCACTTCTCAGATGCAATCTATTTGGCATAAAGGTGCTTGTCTAGAGCAAAATTTAATGTATATTTGGACAAGTGTAAGAAAACACCTGTTTGGTGCCCTGTAACAGCCATGCCAGCGGAGTTTAGTTCACATGAAGAACCAGAGAAACAGTAGTTTGTCAACAGTGCATAGAATAGTTTGATAACATCATCAGTTTTCACTTTGTACTCTGTGTCCCCTTTGGATTAATCAGATGAAAATACAAAAGGGCGACAAAATTATCTGTAGTATTCTGTATTACTGCACACAGACAAAGAAACAAACAAACAACAACAAAAAAAACACTTCAGTTATGTTTAGAGGAAAGGAATTGCTGAAATAATAAAAAGCATGGAAAAAAGTAAAATCAAGTGTACATTCATTTTTGGTGTAATAACATTCAAATTTAAAATTGCAATTTGAAACTCGTAAGAGGAACCGCACCTTACACAATAATGAAATAATATCTGAAGCTCATTGCCAGGAAATATTACTTAGAGTATTCTTGGGAAATATTGGTCATTTATAACAATAACAGGAAAACTGGCAGTAAAATGTATGTATCTTGGCTGCTCCAAAAGTAATACCTCCCATTTTATTATGTGGTCCACGTTGTCAGACGATGATGTTGGTGGCGTGGCAGTAGAGGTTGAGCCTTCCCATTAATATCCTGTTAGATTTTGTTACTGTGCAACGAATGGCAGCTGAGGGGCAGTCTGACAAAACAGTGTCTGACATAGAAGTGCAGATGAAACAAAGGTGTGTCATTTGTTTACTCCATGAGGAAAAAATGGCACCCACTGATATGCATCAACACATGCTGAAGGTATGTGAACACAGTGAGGTGGTGAGTAGTGCCTTTTGGCTGTGGCAACAGTGATGTGAAAGAAAAGCCACGTTCTCCTCAGCCATGCAGATGTTTACAAGTGTGGCATGTGGGCTCTTGTTCATTGTTGGCAAAAATGCTTAGCTAATGGTGGTGACCATGATGAGAAGTAGTGTGCTGTAGCAAAGAATTTGCTCTATCAAATAGTGTTATTGTGCTCTTTCTATCTGTTGTAGTTTCCATGGAAGTAAGTTGGAAGCATTGCTTTCAGAGCAAGCTACATGGAATGCTACTATAACTGAATAACAAAAAGAAATCACTCAATTATGATCCAGGTAGGTCTCTCTTCACTGAAATTCTGTATCAATCTTCCTCACACAGAACCCACCCCATGTACGCTGATGAGTCCTGGAAATTATGTGCTTTTCCATGAAAATTAACAAGAGACACTTCTTTTGCAGCAACCGACATATTAGAAACATTATTTTGAGTTGATCAGATTAAGGCATACAGATCTGCCCCTTCTAAGTATTAAATGCACAATTTTGCTATGGAACATCTAGTGCTGAACAAGAGACGCAAAGAATCATCTAATCCAGAATGTACAATTGATTTCTCAAGCATAATCAGTCTAAAGACCTCCTTATAGGGGAAAAAGTGAGCTTCCTTAAAGCAGTGCCTTCCTT